AACTGCAGGTCGGGAGGACCTCGGCTTCAGGCGTAACCTTGACACTATCCGGACGCCCGCCCAGAAGACAGTGGTAGCGAAAAAGAAAGAAATATCACAAATTTATGTGCGGTGGGAGTGTGCGCCATCCTGAAGTCAGGGAAGATCAACAGTGTGTGCCAGGTGCTGGCGGCGGGGCGGCTGCAGGGTAGGCCTGCCAGGCGGGAAGGGCCCCCGAGCATCCTGGCTGGAGCGAGCCTTGCCCGAGCTCCGAGCCCTTCGTTGCAGCAAATGGGAAAGGGAGGCCCAGAGATCACATGCAACTGGCGTATGGAGAAATCAGGCTTAAACCTTGGGAGACTTTTGACTTTTTAAGGATGTCGGAGACGGACAAAGAACATAGGGATGGCTGGAGTGGGGAGCGGCAAGGGTGGCGGCAGGTAAGAGGAGGGTCAAACCCTCTTGGGAAGGGAGCGATGCCTTTCTGAGAGCCTTGTTGCATAGAATGAATCGTCCATCCTCAGCACCGCTCTCGCTGGCTGCCTCCTGTTTGCGTTCGTGCTATTTGCTGCCTTTTTTGTGAGTGGCAGGGGTAGATACTGTGTCTCTACTCGAGAAAGATGAGGCTTTCCACTCTGCGAAGCATGGCGAACCCACAGGGGCCGTGCTACCCAGCCCTATCTGTGGTCATTAAGAGTCGGCCTTGACTTGAGGGCAGTGAGTTGTTAAAATAGCTGTCTATGAGACGTTAAGGTCCTTACTTCAGGAGCCAGCAGTTTTGGGGACAGAGCATGACCCACTAGATGTTTATGGATTTATTGAAGGATTAAATGACTGGAGGTTTAAAAATATCTTTCTTGTAAATATCACAAATAAGAAATGAAACGGCCAATATCACAACACAACCAATTGAAATAAAAAAATAGTCTGAAAGACTACTCCAACAAATGTAGAAACCTAGAAGAAATTGACAAGTTTCTAGAAACATTACCTATCTACTACTAAAACAGGCTGATGAAAAACAAAAACAAAAACTGAACCAGACCCATAACAAAGAAGAAATTGACCAGGTTATTAAAGAACTCCCACAAAAAGAAAGTGGATGGTCAGAAAGCGTCACTTGGGAACTCGGCCGACACGCAGAGAAGAGCTCACATCAATTCTCAAATGATTCTTAAGGACGAAATCTTCCTGAATTCATTTTATGAAGGAAGCATAATGCTGA